CCTGCCAGGTGGGCTTGCCTGACATAGATGTTTCCCGCTGCAGGTTCAAAGGCCTTAGGAAGAGAGGTTATTAACAACCAGAGCCCCGGCTGGTGTGGCTCAGAGGGCCGAGTGCCGGCCTGCAAACCAAAGGGTTGTGGTTCGATTCCCAGTCAGGGCTCGTGCCTGGGTTGTGGGCCAAGTTCCCAGCAGGGGGCATGCGAGAGGCAACCACACATGGATGTTTCTCTCCCTCTCTGTCTCCCTCCCTTCCCCTTTCTCTAAAAGTAAATCAGATCTTTATTATTTTTTAATTAAAAATATTTTATTTATCTTTAGAGAGGAAGGGAAGGAGAGAAGGAGAGAAACATCAATGTATGGTTGCTTCTCATGCATCCCCTGCTGGGACCTGGCCTGCAACCCAGGCATGTGCCCTGACTGGGAATCAAACCGCGATCGTGTGGTTAGCAGCCCCAGCTCATCCACTGAGCTACACCAGCCAGGTAAATCAGATTTTTAAAACAAAACAAAAAGCAGCCCGAACACCTTGTCAAGGGCTCTGGGTGGCCCTTCCTGACAGGCCAGGCTCATCCAGTGTGATTTTGGCACATTATTTAATTTCACAAATATTTGCCAGCTGTTGTGCTGGGAACAACTTGTCTGCGTCAGTAATTTACACACTAGGGAGGGGAGAACATGAAGTCAGTGGGCCATGGTAAAACATGGGGTATGGGTGACAGCGGGGGTGGGGTGGGGAGGGGAGGGCTTCCAAAATAAGGCTCTGAGGGGCTCGGCCCCTGAGGAGGGGTCACCCTGTGGCTTCCGGTGGCCCTGGGCCACAGCCTGCGGTAGGTGCTGGGTGCAGGATGGCCTGGCTGGAGAGAGGGAGTTCTGTGCCCAGCGGGGAGCAGACGAGCGCAAGCAGGCTCTCGGGAAGGCGAGGCACAAATGTATTCACATGATCAAGCACCTACTATGTGCCAGGCAACAAAGTCAGGCTGGAATAAGCCAGACCGGAAGAGCATTCTTCTTGTCTTTTCTTTCCATTTTATTTTGTGTTAGTTGCTGGTGTACGAAGCTGCGGTTGGATAACCATACACTTTACATGGAGTCCCCTCGATGTTTCCAGCGCCCACCTGGTGCCCTGCGGTCATTACACTGTCAGTGACTGTGTTTTCCGTGCTGAGTTTTCACATCCCGTGACTGTTCTGTCTGTGCTCCTCTGTCCCGTCGCCTCTCCTACCCAGCCCCGCCCCCGGCAACCGTTCTGTGTAGGATTCGGTTTCTATTTGTTTGCTTGTTTGTTTTGTTCTGTAGATTTTTCATGTAAGTGAAATCTCATCTGTCTTTCTCTGACTGACTCATTTCACTCCTCGTGATACTGTCTCGATCCATTCACGTTGTTGCAAATGGTTCAGATTTCATTCTTTTTTATGGCTGAGTAATATTCCATCGCATACATGTAGATACCACACCTTCTTCGTCCCATCTCCATGGATGGGAACTTCAGCTGCTTCCACGTCTTGGATATTATAAATAACACTGCTATAAACACAAGGATACACATATCTTTCCACACTGGAGTTGCTGAGTCATAAGACGGGTTTATTTTTCATTGTTTGCGGAAACTCCACACTGCTTTCCACGGGGGCCGCCCCGGTCTGCATTCCCACCAACCAGGCACGGGTTCCCCTTTCTCCACGTCCTCACCGGCACTTGTAGGGCTGTTGATTTATTGATGACGGCCATTGCGACGGGTGTGAGGTGATAGCTCATTGCTCTCAGTGGTAATTTTTCTGATCTGTCTTCTTGGGCAAGGGAAACGAAAGAAAAGATGAACACATGAGACTCCATCCAGCCCAAAAGGTTTTGCAATTAAAGGAGACCAGCAACAATACAAAAAGACAGCCCACTGAGTGGAAGAAGGCATTCGCCAGTGATATGTCTGAGAGGGGTCAGTACCCGACATTTAGGGAGAGTTTATATGAGTAAACAATTACAAAACGGGCAGGGGCCTGAGGGGACATTGCCTTCAAACCTTGCTTCCTGTCAGCATGGGCGGGGGGCACTTTCTGAGGCCACGCCCACTGCTGGTGCGGAGACAAATGCAGTCGGTGGGTCCCTCCACAGGTTGGGTGGTCTCTGGGGTGTAGGGGGGCAAAGCTGTTGGCGAGAGCTCTGGGTTACCCTGGAGGGAGGTCACTGCCCCTTTCCGGGCCACTGATGCAAGAGAGGGTGGGGAGGACAGGGTGGTCGGTGGCACCCGGAGACCAGGGCCGGCCCCAAGGGCTGCCTGCTCCCCAGGCAGCATCTTTCAAAGCCACCCCTGGGTCCCGCTGGGATCGGAGGAGGGGCCGGTTTAGACAAGGCCAAGAGCGCTGACAGTAGACGATGACGCACGCTCTCCAACGCGGACCGTCCCGCCTCCTACCTGAAGGGCAGCGGCATTTCTCGCCCTTTCCCCCAATCCGTCTTCCCGCCCGCGCTCTCCAAGGGCCCCAAGCCTGTCGAGGCCTCGGCCCCGTGCAAGACCTCCGTGGTTCGCCAAGTTTTGCAGATGTTCTCGCCGGCTGCTGGGGGTTTCACAATATCCCGGAGCTGCTCCCGAGAGATGCCCATCCATTCACTGAGTTAGTGCTTAATAGGAACAACCTCGAAGGGTGACAGGCCCCCTGGAGGAGAGGAGAGCCCCCCGGTGAGCCTGGGTGAGCGAGTACGTAAGTGCGGCCCTGTCCGCAGAGTGCGAGGTGCAGAGGAGGGGGAGCTGCAGCCATCCCTGGGGGAAATGAGGAGGACACGCTTCATGTATGTGCACGGTGTGTCTGTTTTTCTCAGAAGGGCCAGGAGACCCCCGCAGGTGGGGGCGCTGTGGTGCTCCGGCCGCTCCGAGGCTGACTGGAGACCCAGGCAGAGGTGAGCTCTCCCGACGCCGGGCCCACCCCACAGCCGCGCGGGCTCGCTCCCGGGGAGAGAACAGGCTGGTTAACTGGGAAGGAAGGGCCCTGGCCCCGGAGCTGCATGAATTAAACAGTCACACCTATTTTTTCACCTGCTTGTCTCTCCAAACATTTGGTGGGGCTGAACAAGGTAAGTCATAGAATTCTCTGAGCCTCAATCGATAATTCAGGGGCGTGTCTGGGATTAAAAGTCAGCCCTCTGGTCCTTGCTGGCATCGGTGGGATATATAAAACGCTAAATGTCTTTTATTCCACACACGAGGCCTCTAATTCTCACCCTGCCTCGCTATCTTCATGTAAAGACAGCAGAATTCAGGCTTCGGGAGAAACTGGGCACGCACAGTTCACGCACCGAGGACTCAGCCTTCATCTGCTGAGCCCTGTCCAGGCTTGTCTGGCACCAGGCCGAGCTAACTTAACTCAGAAAAAGAAAGGACTAGAAAGTCTCAGTCAAAACAGGTTGTATTGTAAAGAACCTTTGAAGAGGCAACCAACTGTTCATGTGCTGTGCACTTCGGGGGCTGGCAGGCAGAATTCCACACAGGAGTGGGAGAAATACCCTAACCCCTTGGCAGCCTCGCAGACGCCTGCGATTTATTAATTAAGCCGGCCTAAATGCTAATTCAGCCGCTGCACACCAGGGCCCCCTCCCGGAGGTATGCAGAGGCCGGCCCTACCCTCTGCACGGAAACCCCACCCCAGCTCATCCTCCGCCCAGGGGGCTCCAGGGGACTTGCAAACCTCACTGACTGTGGCAGCCTCAGCCCCCGAAACTTCGATGCTGCTGAGGCCCCCTGGGACCTGACATCACCCCCTAGCTGGGGCTGCCCTGGCTGACCCCCTGCTGCCCTCTCCCTGCCTTGCTCCAGAGACTGGCCTCAGGGGCGGTCTGGCCTCTGACACGTGGCCGCCTCCGTTCCAGAGGTCGGGGCCCTGCACCCACAGCTCGCTCCGCCCTCACAGAGGTTGTCAGGACACGGCCGCTCTGTTTGTCTGTGTTGCCGGGGACTGCAGCCCCAGCCCCTGCGAGGGGCGTTCAGGGTTCAGCTTTCTGTCCAGCTGCTCAGGCTGGCCCTGCGCCCCCACATGTGTCCTGCGTCCCCCCTCTGCTCCTTGTGGAGGTGCATTTGAATCCTGGGGCGACCCCAGTTCAGCTTGCAGGCCGAGACTCTCACCGAAGTAAACAGATCCGCCACAAGGAGAACAACGGCCCCTGCGGGGAACCGAAGGGGCCTGATCAGACAAAGCAGACGCCCCCCCCTGGACTGGAGGCGCCCACCCGCTCCCCACCCCTGCCCCAGGGGCCGCTGGGAAACAAAGGGCCCCTCCGCTCAGCCCGCCCAGGGCTGCGATCGGCGCCCACCCTCCCAGGAAAGGTTCCTCCTGTTATTTAGAAATTAGGTATGTTTTTTAAAAATATTTATTTATTTATCTTTAGAGGGGAAGGAGAGAGGGAGAGAAACATCAATGTATGGTTGCCTCTAGTGTATCCCCTGCTGGGAACTGGCTTGCAGGGAACTGGCTTGCAACCCAGGCATGTGCCCTGACTGGGAATTGAACCGTGATCCTCTGGTTTACAGGCCTGCACTCAATCCACTGAGCTACACCAGCCAAGGCTAGAAATTAGGTATGTTTTAAGAAGGATGCTCTTGCTTGAATTAAAAAGAAACGAGATTTTTATTAAAAACCCACTTTTATTACATTGGAAGAGAACATGCTACCTAAAAAGAACAGGTTTATGACTGAGGTATAATTTGCATACAGTAAATTTCACCCTGTCCTGTGGACAGCTGGGGACAAACATGCCCAGCCCCATGCCCCACCGACCTGCTTTCTGCCCGCCCAGGTTTACGTTTCCGAGAATGCGGGGTAACTGGGATCCTACGCTGCAGACAGTCTCGTGTCTGGCTCGTCTCGTGCTGCACGTGGCCCTAGAGACACGCCCCTGAGGCGTGTCTGTCCGGGTTCAAGGCCCAGTGGTGCCGCCACCTGTGCGCCTGCGTCCTCCTCTCACCAGCGGGTGCCGGGGCAGGTAGTTCCCAGGTTTCCGCTGCTCAGAGTGAAGCTGCCGCGATCCTGGGTGAACGAACCTTTGTGAAAACACGTCTCCCTTCGTTTGGGCTGAGCCCCTGAGAGGGGAGGGCTGGGCTGTTTGGCAAGTGGCTGCAATATCCAGGGGATGAATTTGAAGAAGAGTCAACTCACCTCTGGGCTGGCCGGCCGCCTTCTGAATCCTTGCGGTCAGCTCACTGCCTTGTTGGTTTAGACACCAAGGACCGTCAGGTCCCTTCCAGCGTCAGGCGGCTGTGTCCCCAGGACGTGACCTCCAGCGAGTCCTCAGCCGCATAGAGAGGTGCCAACCCCGGAGCTGCTTGGAGGATTCGGAGAAGTGCCCGGGGCGGAGGGCGGAACAGTGCCGGGCACACAGCACCCCCTCCGTGAACTGCACCTACTCCGAGCCCCGGGAAGTCCGAGACCGGAGCAGAGGGCCCAGCTTCTTCCTAGAAAGCTCTGATATTTTGAAGCCAATATGCACACCAGATGACAAAAGACACAGCCCTGCGTTCAACACGTATTTATGGAGTGTCTGCCGACGGCCAGGTGAGGAAAACAGGCCCTGGCCCCGCTCCCTCGGAGCCCTCGGCCGGGAGGAGAAGGGCCCAGCCAGGGGCAGGTGTGATGTGTAATTACCATGCTCGTGAGTGGTGAGTGTGCAGGGGTGAGGCGGGGCTCGCCCGGGCAGTGCCGGGGGTGGGAGGCCACAGTGCACACGTTTGCTGCTTCGGCTGAATGGGGCCCATGACCTGGAGGCAGGAGTCCCCTGGGGGTGGCAGTGGAACAATCTGAGGCCCCCGCCACCGTCTCCTCCCTAAAGCCAGACAGGTTTTGCGAGAGCTTTCAAGAGGATCCTGAGTGTGAAGGGGCTGCAAAGCAGCTGGGGAAATCGGTGGCGTGTCTTGGAAACCAAAGGCGCTTCGGAGAGTTGGAAAGTCACGCGGAGCAGCCGGCTGTGGGCACAGGTGGGCCTGTGTGGCCATCAGGGACCAGGGACCAGGGACCAGGAACCAACCTGCCTCCCTCCTGGTCTCAGCCAGGTTGGACGGGTGGTCCAGTTGAGCCCACCAGGGCAGCCACCTTCGTTGTTACCCGGGTTCCCAGCTGCACCTGCTGAGGGCCCCCTGAGGCGCCTGGGGTGTCGATGTGGGGTGTGTTTCAGCACCCACTTCCTCTGGAGCCCTGTGCCTCCTCCGCCCCCATCACGTGATGCTGGGGGGGGAGCGTCCATCACAGCCTCCCCCTCCCATCCTGCGAGAGACGGTCATGACGTTAGGGCCGCTCAGCCCGTGTGGACTCTCACAGCTCAGAAACACGAACACGCGGCCTGAGGAAAAGCAGGGAGAGTTTGCACAGACCTTTCTCTAGAGGACACACCATTGCCAACCAGCCGTCAGGAAACCCAAATTGAAGCTGACCAGCTCTCGGAGGCGGGCTGACCCTGGAAGGAGGGGTGACCTCGGGCCCTTCCAGCCTGTGTCCTCTCCATTGGGGGGAAACCAGATGCCCTGGGGACTGCTCGCCCCGGTTCCCGGTAGATCCGGTAGTGACCGGCAGCAACTGTAGAAGCCGAGTGGCCTTGGAAATGAAGGGCCGGAAGCCTCGGTCGGAGGAGGCTGCCCTTTGGCAGGCTGGACCGAGCGTGTAGGGGACACGGCGTGAGGTCCCATCGCAGGCTTGTTGCGTCAGGAAGCGTTTCAAGAGCTTGTCACCCTGCACCGGGGCTGCAGCAGAGCCTCCCCTGTGACCTGGGAGGGTGTGGGAGCTCACACCCAGGAGCAAGGCCCTGAGGGAGCCGGGGTCTGTGCCACCCGCCTGCTTCTCTCAGGAAGTGTGCCTCACCCCCTCCAGCCTCGGCCCCTCCCACACGCCTCCCCTCCTGCTGCCCCTCCTGCTGCAGGACAGGGTCTGCCTGCTGGCACTGGACACCGTGCTGGCTGCTCTCCAAGCCGGTGTCCTGGCCATGTTCTGCTCCACTTCCTACCCCCGCATGGGTGGCCACGCCCTGGCCCTGTCATCACCAACACCCACGCTGCCACAGTGTCCCAAGCCGTCCCCCATGGGCTGCACAGCTGTGTCCCTGCCTCTCCCCCCAGCCTGTTCTCTCAGCGAGGCCATTGCCTGCTCCCTCTTCGGGACTCTGTGCCCTGAACTTCCTGACTCCCTTTCCTTCCCCTGCCCACCTGGGGCCCTGCCCACCTGGGGCTGCGGATGGCAGGAGAGATGCCCACGAGGTGGCCCTGGCCGCAGGGCCCCTGGGGTCATTGCTCAGCTGTCCTCTGCCCCTGCAGGACCTGCTCAGGTCTCCACCCTGCGGCTTCCACCGCCCAGCAGGTGAGCTCACCTGGGGCCCCCAGAGAAACAGGGAAGGCCCCAGTGGACCGCACCTCAGCTTCCCGCTGCACCCCCTCGAGCTCACCCACACCTCCACCACCCTGGCCTCCTCCCTCTGGTCTCAGGAGGCCTGGGGGTCCTCTCTGGTCCCCGACCCGCTCTGCCTTCCATCCGGGCTCCACACTCTCTCTTCCCACGTCCGGGTCTCCTGCTAATGGGAATGTCCTCTCTTACCCAGGCCCATCCTTTCTGCCCCATTGTTCTGCTGTGTAAACCCGTGCAAGACCCTCCCTGGCTCTTCCAAAGGCCCCCAGAGGGCGCCCCCGTCAGGCGCCACCAAGCATGCGCAGCGGCAGAGCAGTGACCGGGGCTCGGCGCTGCGACCGGTGTTTGAAAATCAGGCGCTGGGAAGTGTTTAGGGTGACCAGTCCACGCGGCCCGCCTTGCACGTGGTTTTACGAGTGGGAACGGACGTCTTTATTTCCCCGAAGGCTGAGGAAAGGGCTGCAGAGGGCGCGGGAGCGGACGGTTTTAGTTGCTGGTTTGCAGCTCCGTGGACACGCCTTTTTCCTGTTGGGCATTTTGTTTCGAGCACCTGCACACGGCGCCCATGTTGAGCGGCTGTGGGTTCTCATACGCATCAGTCGCTCTAGCCCCGTGCAGGTAGAAGGGGCAGGATGGGTGAGAAAGGCCTGTGTCTCCCGGGACCGACAGTGTCCCAGGTCGGCCGTAGGCGCTCGGCTGCACCCACAGACGTTCTGTGCAGGTCCCTGGCGAGGCGGGTGCACCACCCCCTGCCCCCGGAGGCTCAGAAGCAGACACCCTGGAAGCACTCTCGACCCTTCCCTCTTTCCCCGCCGCCCAGTCTGGCCAGAAAGCGGACACACAGCCTTCAGCCGCCCCAGGGCAGACGGAAGTGAATGCTGAGTTTCTTCGGCAACATTCCTCCTGCCCGGGCCAGGGGCTCAGTGCACATCTCAGGGACAGCGGGAGGCAAGATTCCTGTCATTACTCAGGAGAAGCGACCACAGCGTGGTCTTGTCTCCCCGGGTTTAGTGGCCTCTCTGCCTTTTAACTGCTGAAAGAACTCGCTTGTTTTTCAGTCTTACACTCCTTCCTTTCTCCCTCCCTGGGTTCGATTCTCTCCCCGTCCTTGGAGAGCTCTTGTCCGGGGGTTGTGACCCTTCGTTTGGCGTGTCCACCTTTCCCCGCTTCTTTGTTCTCCACTCTTCGCCCCCTCCCCCCCGCAGTCCCTCCTTGCCTGTTCTCCATTATCCCCGCCCGGCCCCGGGATGCCTGAGACAGCCCCCAGAGCAAGCCCCCAAACGCCCCCGGGGCCCCCAGCAGGCTGCCTCCCTGGGAAGCAAGCCCCGGACCAGGCCTGGCTCGCACGCCCCGTGGGCGACGGTCTGATTCTGGAGGCTGCGAAATGCCAGCCGCGTGGGCGCGGGGCTGTCTGTGGAAAAGAAAGCGATACTTCTGCAGGCAGGTGGTACTGTTTTACGGAGCATCTTTATGTGCAATTTCGAGTGAGCGCTCTGCAGACAGAAGGAATCAGTTTAGTGGGCGGCTGGGCCGGGACGTGGCCCGGCTCTAGGTGAGAGCAGATTTACGCACCGAAATCAAAAGGAAATCGCGGGAGCCGTCCTCGGCTGCATTCCCCGACAGCGAGCGGCCGCGCGGTGCACGCCGCGCGCCTTTGACTCCTTCCCAGAAAGCAGTCGGGGCTGGGGGGAGAATGAGTTTCCAAGGTGCTGGAGTGCGTCTGTGCAATACAGACTCTGACTCACCGGGGAGGCGTAAACAAGGCCCGGAGAGCAGAAGGAGCCTGGCGGCCAGGGAGCCCCGAGCTCCGGGTGGGGCAGTCCTTGGGAGGGAGTGTAAGGACGTCTACAGGGATTCCTGATCGACGGTTCAGCCCAGAAGACTCGCCGCCCCCTGCTGTCTGACTGGGGGGGCCACGGGGAGGTGAAGGGGCCTGGGGCGCTTGCCATTTTTGGTTTTATAAAAGGGGGGCTGTTTTCTGGGGACAGGTTGGTACAGGAGCAGCAGGAAAAATGCACTTGGGTTCACTGCATATATTTTGTGGAGAGTTCAACATTTTTTTATTATTGATTTTTTGAGAGAGAGAGAGAGAGAGAGAGAGAGAAACATTGATTTAGTGTTCCACTTAGGCATTCATCGGTTGCTGCTTGTATGTGCCCTGACCGGGGATCAAACCTGCAACCTGGGATTGTCCTGACTGTGCTTCAGTCAACTCAGCCACGAGGCCCGGGCTGAAGTGCAACATTTACACGGGTGGGTTAAATTGAGGGTCTTGTAAGGGAAGAACTTTACAGGAAGTGTGAAGAAGTAGCTGCTCCCTCAGTCAGGCCACACGTCCCTGGTCGGCGTCCGTCCGTCTGTCTGTCCCAGCCGATGGGCAGGCGCTGGCTCCGCACGAGCAGCCGTGTGGAGTCTGCGGGTCGCCCGGCCTCCGCCTGCAGAGGTTGGGGCAAGGAACTTGGAGACTAAAGGGCAACATTTTTCTCTGAAAGGGAATAATTGTGATACGGGATTTTGTTTTACTTTCTCAGGCTTCAGAGAAGAGCAGTGTTCTTCCCCTGGGTGTCGGTCCTGGCCTCGGGGGCGGGGCGGCTCCTGTGCACAGGTGTCCGCGTTTCCGGGGGACACGGGGCGCGGTGAACGGGTTCCAGGGCAGCAGGTTATTCTCCACTTCATCTCAGAAGGAAGGAAAGAGGGGAAATAGAGGGCACCGCCTACAGCCGGGGGACTGCTGGGGAGACGGCTTCCGCGATGGCCGCGGCGAGGCCCGGCCCCGGTCTCCCCGCCCGCATCCCCCCACCGCCTCCCGTGGCGTCCAGGGACGCGGCCGAAGCGGTCGGGGTGTGGGTGTCCGCAGCGTCCAGCAGCTTGGTTCCCAGGAGCGGGGGTGGGGAGCCGGGCGGCGCCGGGCTCAGGTTAACTGGCTGCTGGTGGCGCTCATTTCTGAAGGGATAGAAATATCGTGACACCGAGGTGGCACTTCAACGATCGGTCGTTTTCACTTGTCAACTGTGTTTCAAAAAAGCTAAAAAATTAAAGCCGTTCTTGTCCTTCGTCTTGGGCCCTGCACTGTCGCCCACGCTGTGGGGAGGGGCCGTGGTCAGGAACCGGTGACAGGCCTGAAGGGAGGGGTCAGCCAGCGGCAGCTGCCCGGCCGGCCGGCAGCTGGGGGGCCTGGGAGGGGGCCCACTTCGCAGGAGCGGGGAGAGAGCGCGGGGAAGTCCGGCAAGCAAACCAATACAACCGTCTTCACCGTACGTCGCCATATTAGTGTTCATTGTCTTACTCTTCCGGCAGACCGTAACCGAGTACCCCGTATTCTCCGGGCTTCCAGTTGGGAGACCCCAGGACGACAGGATGGCCTGAGGCCTGGCAGGTACTGGCCGGGGTGAGGAAGGGCAGAGGGGGCTCCCGGACCAGTGGACGGAAGCACAGGCAGACATCGGGGGTGAGGAAGGGGTGCGGCGATGCGGAGAGTTCTGGAGAGAGGAGCAGGGTGGGGCGTGGGGCAGAGGGGTCCGAAGAGGTGGACCCTGCAGACCGAACGTGCCCGGTCACTCAGGGCCACCCCCCCCCCCCCCGAGCAGCAGGTGCCGCCTGCGCCTGTCAGCGGGCCGTTCCCCCCAGGCTCCCAGGGGACGGCAGGGGAAACCCCTCAAAGAGGGGCCCTGTGAGTTTTCTCGGGGCGGCCAGAGCACAGCGCCCCACACTGGGGGGCTGGACCGAGAGGGGCTCAGACGTACGATTCCACGCCCGGGGGGTTTGACATCGCGCGGCAGCAGCACGGGCTCCTGCTGGGGTCCCCTGCTCTTTGCCTCCCTCCGGACTGCCACCGTGCGGAATTCCAGATTTCCTCCGGTGACAACAACACAGGCCCCATGACCCAACCCGAACTTATCGCCTCTGCAAAGCCCCCATTTCCAGGTCAGGCCCTTGCCGAGGCAGGAGGCGAGAGGAGTGCAGTGTGGGCCCGGAGGGGGCGTCACAGAGGGCAGGGGCGGCTGAGGGCAGCCTGCGGGAACCACCCAGGGGTCCGTGAGCACCTCGCCCTGTGGGGTTCAGGAGGCAGGAGCCACGCGCGGAGGCCGTTGGTGCTGGGGTGAGACGCCCCTTCTTTTCCCGTGGGAGCTGGAGGGACAGTGGCCCGGTTTAGGCTGAATGGGTGCAGTGAAAGGTGTTTGCTGGGCAGTGACTGAGTTCGCTCGGGTGGCCATGGGCTGGGCGACTTTCACAACAGAACTGTTTGTTCTCATGGTTCAGCGGGTAGGAAGTCCGAGGTCGAGGGGCCGGCGTGGCTGGCTTCTCCGGGAGCCTCCTGCTCGGCTCCCAAATGGCCGACCGTCTTCTCGTCGTGTCCCCACCTGGCCCGTCCTGGGTGCGGGCCCCTGGCTCTGCCCTGCTCGCACGGACACCAGCCACCCTGGGTCAGGGCCCACCCCAGCAGCCGCACTGTGACCCAGTCACAGCCTTTAAGACCTGCTTTCCCAATGGCGTCACACTCTAGATACTGGGGGTTGATCCTTCAACACAACAACTTAGGGGAACACATTTCGACCTATAACCCGTGGCCATGCAGGAAGTCACTTTCTGACTTCTTGAGAAACGCGCCAGGTTCTAGGTTGGTCTCTAACAGGAGCGGATCGGTGGGTCTCCCCTGGGGGATCTGGGGGCCCCGTGGACGGACGGGTCTGGAATCCAGGTCGCCCTGGAATGTCTGCTGACTCTTTGAAGTCCCTTCCCAGCTCCCCCTGGTTCAGAGTGTGGGACGCCCTTCCTCCCCCCGACCCCGCCGGGCCCGTGACTGTCCCCTGGTCCACGTGATGGCTCTGGGGACACTGTCCCTTCTCCCAGGCCGGGGTGGGGAGGCCGCCACCGGCCCCCAGGGCCAGGCAGAGAGGACTTCTGTTTTGACTCTTTGTTTTCTCTCATTTTCCCTTTAAACATAGCCTGTCTTATATCTCTCGTTCTTATTTTCGTTTCTAACCCCCTCTGTTCCTCTTCAGGGTAAAGTTAAAGTGAAAACACATGGCCGCGGACCTGCGCCGCTCCATTTACTCAGCTGCACCTACTTATTCAATTTAAACTGAAAGGCCAGTTTACAAACTTGCAAAAATAAGTCCTGGGCCCATGTGGAGAACTGTATAAACACAGGTCTGATTTCATTTCTACTTGTTTCATTTTTTTCTCTCTCTCTTGCAAAGGACCTTCCTGGAATAAAAGCCAGAAGGCTCATCCGTGCGTGGACACACACGCCCCGCACCCCCCAGGAAGTTCCTCCTTGATTTCTAATTTTGTAACAAAATAAGCAGGCCTTGAACAGAAAATGAGAGTTTTTAAGAGAAGGGTTCCAGCAACCTGTCAATTAACATTAGTGACATCATTCAACACAGTATCGGTTTAAAGACTGTCAGGGCAGAACGTTTGATTGTTAGAAAACGGCTCCCCGAGTAGGCGAATTCTGTTTTCTTTCTGTGAGAGACACACGCACGCTGGCTGGTCTAGCTGTTGATCCTAATACTTTCTCACTTTTGGAAGGAAAAAGAAGGCAGTTTTGGGAAACAGGGCAAAGGACGCGGTTCCTGCCAGCCCAGCTGCGCATAATTTAAACAAGGAAACGAAAACAAGGAGGCCGCGGGCCCTGAGAAGCTCTGGAAGTAGATTCAAGGGCCTTGCCCCCAGCGGGGCCAGGATATTGCAGGCGTAGCAGTTCCTTCTTTGACCCGCCCAACCACGCCGCTCTGAGGCCCGGAGCGCGATAAAAAAGACCCTCCCAAAACCCTGTTCAGAAACTCGCTCCAGGTCACTTTAGCAGAGAGATTCAAAAGCGCGCCTTGTGGAGGCAAAGGTGATGGTTTTCCTCTCGGCTGGCGGTTTCTGTCAGTCTGGAGCTTGTCACCTTCTGCCTGAGCGCTGCACTGTGTCCCCCGAGTTCCCACATGGGAGCCCTAACCCCCCGTGTGACTGTACAGGGTGGGCAGAAGGAGGTTCTCAGCGGTTCGTCTGGACAAAGAGAAACGACACCCATCAACAGTACAATCGTTCACACACAGTCGTACAAGAATATACCCACTTTTGCTCACTACTGTGTTCTTTTTAGACCTTTATTTTCATCCTCACCTGAGGACAGGGCTTGCTAATTTTAGAGAGGAAAAGGAAGGGAGGGAAGGCGAGAAATGTCATTTTGGTTGCCTCTTGCAGGCATCCCAACAAGAAACTGAGCCTGCAACCCAGGCATGAGCCCTGACTGGGAACCGAACCCCTAGCCTTTCAGTTCACGGGATGCTGCTCCGACCCACTGAGCAACACCAGTCGGGGCCGCCCCTGTGTTTCGAGACCAGGCTGCTAAGCAGGTGTTTAAGGGCAAATGAGGTGGGGCTCTAATCCAGCAGGACTGGCGTCCTCATCCGTGGATGTCCGTCCCCTGCAGCGGCAAAAGGTCATGTGAGGACAGGGCCAGAAGGCGCCTGCCACCAGCCGCAAAGTCTCTTGGACTCCAGAGCTGTCGCCTCCAGAACCAGGAGAGAATGAACATCTGTTGCTTCAGCTCCGTGGCGGCCTGAGCGGGCTCCACCCGGAGCAGCTCGGCCAGCGCTGCTTCCTGAGTTTTGATTCCGTCCCGGGAATCAAACACCTGCCCTGAGACGGGCCAGAGCCGGGAGGCTCCGCTGGTTGCAGCGTCTTGCTGTACACTGAAAGGGTGTGGGTTCGAGTCCTGCTCAGGGCGTGTGCCTCGGTTGGGGGTTCCGTCCCAGGTGGAGGCAGCCAATCCGTGTTTCTCTCACACAGATGTTTCTCTCTTGTTCTTTTCTTCTCTCTCTCAAATCAGTAGAAACATATCCTTGGGTGAGGGTTAAAAAAAAACACCATAAATGTCTCCCTATGCGGAAGCCTCCCTGACGAAACCTGGGACTTCCTTGAACTTGGGACTTTCTTTTTGGGTTTTTTTTTTTTATCGATTATGCCATTACATTTGCTCTATTCCCCCCTCCCTTCCCCTCCACCCTGCATACCCCTCCCCCACCATTTCCCCCTTTAGTTCATGAACATGTGTCTCAAATTCTTTAGATTCTGTATTTCCCCTACTATTCTTACCCTCCCCCCTATGTATTTTCTATCTACTGTCTATGCTACTTATTTTCTGTACCTTCTCCCCCCTTCCCCTCCTCCCACTCCCCTGTTGCTAACCCTCCCTGTGATCTCCATTTCTATGGTTCTGCTCCTGATCTAGTTGTCCTCTTAGTTTGCTTTTGTTTTAGGTGTGGTTGTTAATAACTGTGAGTTTGCTGTCCTTTCACTGTTCATCTTTTTTATCTTCTTTTTCTTAGGTAAGTCCCTTTAACATTTCATATAATAAGGGCTTGGTGATGATGAACTCCTTGAATTTGGTCTTATCTGAGAAGCACTTTATCTGTCCTTCCATTCTAAATGAAAGTTTTGCTGGGTAGAGCAATCTTGGTTGTAGATCTTTGGTTTTCATGACTTGGAATACCTCTTTCCAGCCCCTTCTTGCCTGTAAGGTCTCTTTTGAGAAATCTGCTGACAGTTTGATGGGGACTCCTTTGTAGGTGACTGTCCCCTTAGCTCTTGCTGCTTCTAGGATTCTCTCCTTCATTTTAATCTTGGCTAATGTAATGATGATGTGCCTTGGTGTGTTCCTTCTTGAGTCCAACTTCTTTGGGACTCTCTGAGCTTCCTGGATTTCTCGGAAGTCTATTTCCTTTGCCATCTTGGGGAAATTCTCCTTTATTATTTGTTCAAATAATTTTTCAACTGGTGGTTGTGCCTTTCCCCCTTCTGGCACCCCTATAATTCGGATGTTGGAACGTTTAAAGATGTCCTGGAGGTTCCTAAGCTTCTCCTCATTTTTCTGAATTCTTATTTCTTCATTCCTTTCTGTTTGATCATTTTTTTCTTCCTTCTGGTTCTCTCCCTTGATTTGAGTCCCAATTTTCTTTCCATTACTATTGGTATCTTTTGTATCCCCATTCATTTCAATTAATTTAGCTTCCATATGTTTCTCTAATTTGTGACTAAAGTCAACCAGTTCTGTAAGGATCCTTATAACCAGTGTTTTGAACTGTGCATCTGAAAGACTGGCTATTTCTTCATCACTTAGGTCTATCGGTTCTGGGGCTCTGAGTTGTCCTAGAGCCATTTTTGGTCTATTCGTGCTGTTAAGTGAGCGGAGCGAAGCCTTAGTTGTTTACCAGGACCGGGCGACCCAGGTCGCTGGTTTGTGACGCTGTGTGTGGGGGCGGGGCCAGAGAGGGAGCAATGGCGTTCCTCTCCGCTAGCCCAGCGCATCCAGTCACTCACACGCCTCGGGCTTGTTTATCCGATCCTAATTGTGCGAGCCTGCTGCACCGCGAGGTTTTC